CTAATGATTGTAGGCAGTCGATAATGATTGTGAGCAGTAGGGAGTTATGATAGAAAGTTGATGAAAAGAAATACTAGTCAATTAATAAGTAAGAATAAAATTCAAGATAATATTAATTATAATACTCCTAGAGTATAAAAAATTGATATGAGTAATAATTGACAAGTAGTAATAACAAAATTAAAAACTATGGTGTATGAATTTCTTAGATGAAACATTGCAGTTATTATTCATTTTTGTCATGTCTAGATTTCATCCTATTTTTGTTGCTTTTTATCACAAATCTCTTGTTTTTCCAAACCATTAAATATTTAAATGAGGCACACTCTTGGTAGGCTAACCAGTTAAAGGGAATACGAGTTCAAATCTCATTAAAAGTTTATTTTTTTATTTCCATCCCATGCTGTTAATGGAATCAAATAAGCATAAAAATGAACTATATTATTTGAAATTTCTTAAACAAAGTATTGTTAATTATTATTCACTTTTTACTAGTGTTTCTTTTCATCTGATTTCTTGATAGAAAATTATCTTTTAACACTGCTTACTAACAAGAGTAGAATGCCAATTTGAGGTAGAGATAAAAACCACAGAAATAGCCTATAACATCTGTCAGTCACGAAGATCCATGGATCTGCGTCTGGAGAATTTTTTACTGCATCAGTTAGTGGTAATGCAGCATTTGTTTACCAATTAAGTGCAGGTTTATAACCAGTAGATGCTGCTTTCCATTTTTTTGCCACCACAATGTGCTAACACTGGAGTATCATGTCTAGGGCACAGACCTAGGTATAACTTCTTTTATAGGAAATCAATAGTTGCCAATGCAGCATGTCTCCTCTCTTGATTCCATCAATGTTGTCCAAGAGAAGAGTAAAGGCAAATGTTGCTTGGCATCAGTGTCAAAGTTGAATATTTTATTGGACTGTCTTTGGAACTATGGCTCCAGACTTATTCTCAGGGTTTATTCTCAAAGTCTTTCCCATGGTGTGAACTTTTGAAATGAGCTTACAGTACCTAATCTTCCCAAATGGTCATCCATCTTCTAAGTACTGACCAGGCTCAACATGGCATAACTTCAGAAAATAAAGAAATACTAATCAAACATTAATAACAGAAATGGAAGTTGTAAAATTTTGAAAATATTGCAACTACTGCTAGTGTATGTAATCAAAGAAGGAAAACAATGAAAATGAGATATTTGGGAAAAAGTAAAGAGTAAAAGTTATGCTTGGATTTGAATTTCTGTAACTAGTTGGTCTTTGTAGCTTAATTGGTAAGGTAGCTGCCCTAGAAAGGCAAACTTCTTGGTGATAAGGGATATTGGTTCAAATCTTGCCAAAGGCTTATTCTTTTCTTTTTTTCCCAGTCTCTGTTGCTTACAAGTAATTGTCAGATGTCAGTCTGAAAGTTGTTTTATCACATCAAGAAAACTAAGATGAAAGAAAGACTTTTTGAAAATTAATAATAATAGAACTATGTTTTATTACATAGGTTAAAATAAATTCATAATTAATTACCTCAAAGTAAACTTCAGTTTACTTTTCTTTTAGGCTGTGTGAATTGAAAAAGTGAAAAACTTGATTTTAAAAACAAAGGGAACACAGAAAAAAAGTAAAAGAGGAAATTGTAACATAAATTATATAAAATTTCCCCAACTTAATAGTTACCTTTTTTTTAAATAAAAAATTAATTCAAGTGACAACCATATTTTTGTCAAATATTAGAGATCTTTTGCAATGTTTATATTTTTAATCTGAAGCAGGTAAAATCCAAGCGACCCAAACAAGTTGAAGGCTATGTTAATCAGAGTTTCTCTGGTGTTGATGAGTCAAAATCACAAGGAAAACCTAAAGAAAAGGTAGCAGATTTAATAAAGATTGCTGGTATCTCCACTATGCGCATGAAATGGGCACTAATTGTAAAGACAGAGGTTTAAAACATTTTTTTAAATTACAAATGGTAATAGTTTGGGTTGTTGTTGTTGTTGTTGATGATGGTGGTGGTGGTGGTGCCTTTCCCCATCCTGCTTTGAATTTTATGGTAAAATGTAGTAATGAGGGAAAGTGATATATTCTAATATCATCTGAAAAATTCAACATTTTGCACATATATATATATATATATATATATATATATATATGTATATATATATGACACTTTAATTGATCATTTAATCAAATTCTGCACATCTACTTTTAATACATAAAATAATTACTTCAGTTATTTAAAATGCTTTTTGGTGTTTGTTGATATTTAGCACAATTGGTTGTTTTGAAAAAATATTTTTTTTTATTTTTAGCAATTTTTTCCCAGAATGTTTTCAGTATCAGAACTGAAAAAAGTATCATTTTCAGTGTTTATCAACATGTACTAAAATTTAATTATATTTGTGTTGTGACTTATCTTTTCTTGAATGTTTGTCCCATTATTACACTAGTTTCATGCAACATCTTTTTGAAAATATCCCAAACTTTGATGTATTTAATAAAACTGTTACCAAACACTTCTAGGCTATTAGAAAACATTCATCTAAGAAAAAGAATAACATTACATAGCTTGTGACCCACTATTATAACTATTAAAACAATGTATTTTGTCTATGGTTAGGAAATTGTCTGATTAAACTTGAGTTGTAGATAATAAAAGTGACTGATGATTTCAAGAAGTGCTAAGAAGTGATGTTATTGATGTAACTACTAATCCAAATTGTTGTAAATTTTATTACTGATATAAAAAGTAAAAAAAATACTCTCTCTCAGGTACATAATGTTTTCATTTATACATTGTATTTCAAGTAATTTCACCAAACTAATCAGCCGTTTATATTCTTCGCTTTTAAAATGATTTTTGAAGTGTTTTTATTTCTCTCAAATTCTGATATTAAATTGATTTGCTCAGCTACAGGTTTTTGTTTTAAAAATAGAAAACAAGCTACAGATAAATAAATTTATAAATATCTTTTTGCTTCCTATTTTAATAGCTCAGCAATTCAATTAATTTTCATTAATGTTTTAATAACTGTAAATGTTATTGATAATGACCACAATTGTTATTGAATTTTATTTTATTGTTCTCTTTGTGATTGGTACTTTCATACACTTCACATACACACACATAGCTATAAACATATATACATACATACACATATTTGTACATGCTTGCATACAGTCTCTTGGAAAATTACTAAAAATCTAGTCATCAAAATTGTGGTTGAAATTTTTCAGCTATCTTGTCATTTTCTACAAAAATTATATCTTTAAAAATACTTTTTGCTATTTTACAAGTTTTTAATGGTTGTAAATATTGTCCTTATCTAATAAATCACACAGCTTTATTTTTAACTAAACATTATCACTAAAATAGAATACTTGCCTCTGAAATAGTTTTTGTGTACAGATCATTACTTTATACACTGTTTTCAGATTTTAAAATTCATAATTGCTTATTTTAATTTTTTCCTTAAATATAAGTGAGGGTAATTGTTAATTTTCTAATTGATTGATTTAATATAAAATAGTAGATTTTATATATGGAAAAATATCTATTTATGTACTTAATATTTATACATATTTTTCTCTTGTTCAGTATTTAATGTTAATCAAGGAACATTCTGGTGGATAGGAAATTGATAAACATGCTTAAAATAATAAATCATAATAAAAAGTAAAATTTTGTGCTTGTATTTTTGTAGATATTCAAAATTTAGATAACAAGCAAGTAAAGAATTAGATTAAATGTTTTAAAAAACAGTTTAATGTTTTCAAAAACTAAATTATCAAAATAACCACACTTTACCATCATTAATTTTTATAGATTTAAATCGGGCAATATTTTTTTAAGGAATATAATAATTATTTGCAATGTGAATCTACATGAATAAAAACATTATCATTTCAATTGTATAAAAAAACTGAAAGTATTTATTAAATTTTGACTTGTATTTCTTTATTTTAATTTCAGTTGCTTTTTATTACATCTCAGGCTCTCATTCTATAGCTTGTAAGAAACAATATGAATTAAAAATACACCAAGATAATATGACTACTGACAGTTTTTTTTCTTCTTTTATATACTGTGTCCTTTCATGAAATGAGCAGTCATAGCTTTTCACAATTTCCTGCCCTAAGTATAATACTGCTTGTGTACATAACTAAATATTAAAGGTGCCTCTGAAGAGGGCATTCAGGTAAAACAAAGAAGGGAAGTTAAATGGCTAAAGTTGAGCTTCTGTAGCTAAATAGCTCATTATAACTTAACTGGTAAACCAGCTGTTGCACTGACAGGCTTCCTGAGAAAAAAAGAGATGCAATTTTAAGTCTTAATTTCTAATCCACATTATTAATGAATGAGTGAGAAGTTGCAAAAAGAAGTAATTGGAATTAAAATGAAAGATATCCAATTTGAAAATTCATAATAATTAGAAATGCTTCATTTAAGAAATTTAAAAAGAAATAATATTAGTACTAATACTACTAATGTATATGAATAACAAAACCTGACACTGAAAAATATAAGAAATTCAAATTTGAATGGGTGCAGCTTTTGTGAGAAATGATTCTCAAGTTAAAAGGGATAGAGATGTAGATCTTATTTTATCATTTCCTATCTGTATTACTTATTAGCAACAATAGAATGATAATCTGAGAGTTGCAATAACACACAGTTGTATACATGATGAAAGAAATTCTAATAAAAAATATGTTTATCTAATGAACAATGTGATACATTCTCTTTATTTGTTTGTCCCTAACACTAGACTCATCCATTCGGTAATTATTAGCAACTTTTTCTCACTATTATGTAATGAGAAAATTTGCTTTGATGGTAAATAAAAGAATTATTGTCTCTGATCAAAGCTGAGAAGTGTCATGTTACCATAATAATGGAATTTTAAAAAATGCAAAAATCAAATATAATGACTGGCTTCTCCTTTTCAAGTTTGCACATCTAATAGGGTGGCTAGCTAATGCCTGTTTCGGATGCCTGCTCAGGCACATTTGTTTTTCTTCATCACCCACAGATCCAATCTGTGGTTTATACTATAACTATTGCTGAGTGAACCTTAGTTACAGTTTCTGAGAGAGAAAGTGAGCACGTAATCTGGTGTTATCATTAGTTGAACAAGGCAACTAAACTCAAGTCATCAATCACTATGATTTGTGACATTGTGCTTAGCACAGCTATTGACAGTTTCTGAACAGTTTCATCAACCGAATTCCACTGACAAGGCTTTGGTCAAACCATAGTGTGATTTTCAGATATTTCCTAATAGTGCTACATGCTCAGATTCTCTTCCCAAACTGATATTATGAAGAAATCACCTTGACAAATCAACCATGTTTAAATTCAAACACAAGTCTCATGTTATGTTATATTACTAGTGATTATTATTGCTCTATCACTTGAGACTGAGCTCTGTATTTGGAAAGACTGCTTATCTTCAGATTTATATCTTGTGAACTATTTTATTACTAATAACACACACACACACACACATATATATATATATATATATATATATATATATATATATATATATATATATATATATATATATAATGGTATTAATATGCAAGGGCATGTAAGTATGTCATTTAGTTTCTTTTCTAAAAGAAATGAAAATACTTATTGACATTCAAATAAATATATCCATGATTTTTTCCATAGTTAATAACTAGTTAAAAAATAATTAGCAATGCTTCATCCTATAATAAATTCAAGTTAATAGCACTAAAGTATGTTAAATATTTTAATCTTATCTGTACTGCATGTTTCGATACAAAATCATATTTCTAAAAATATTATGATAATCATAAAGAAAAAAATTCTTCACATAGATTATATAATTACTTGTAATTTATTACTTCTCTAAAACATTACAATTACATTTTTTGTATGAAAAGCTGTATGGTTTATAGATATTAAGAATAATAATTAATTCCTTATTTTCTTGATTATATCAATTGATTCTTTTATATGATTTGATTGTTTTACACCTGATGTCAGTGAAGTATCATAAATGTATTTTCCATCTTAGGTATTAAGCACTCACCAGCAATAGAGCACAGTATGAAATATGTAGTGTTTAATCACTACTTTATATTACAATTCTCTCCTGCTCCTGTTTCATCATAAAATAAATACAAATTTGTATATTCTTATTTGAGACTCCAGATTCACTCACAACTTATATCACACTTTCAGGAAGAGTTAGGGATACTTTGCAGTTGCCATTTCATAGTCATCATTTTGCAATCATCATTTCAGTTATATGTTTTGATCAAAGAATAATTGGTTTTGGGAAGGGGCTTAAGGATGCTTTGCAGTCACACACTGGTGTCAAACAAAAGAAAATGGGTATAATTTTCAATAAGTAATTCCCTTGAAAATAGGCTTTGAATTCTTATTTGTTCTAATATTGTGTATTTTTTCTAATATTTTTATTAAAAATTGTTTAAATTGTCTTTTTTTTAAATAATAATTATATTAGGTAAAAAGCTTGACTTAAAAGAAAACTATTAAAACTAATGCAAATTTTTAAAGTGCAGCAGTATTTAAATTAAAATTATGTAAAGATTTTGATATTTCTTATTTAGTTATTATTTTTTAGCCATATAAAAATTTTAAATATTTTACTATAGTGCAACAGTGTACTTTGCTGTTGCACACTCAATTTTAAAATTATAATACAATTTCACTAATCAAATTTTATTTATATTGCTAATTTTGACACTAAATAAACAATTAAAGAAATCGTTATCCAGAGTATTAACTTATATACTATCTTACTGTAAAATGAGTCCAAATAATGGAAAAGATTAGAGCGTAAAAAAATGATGACTGAAATAACAACTACAAAATGCAACTGCGAATTGTACCTTTTCATTCAGGAAAGTTTAATAACATCATTGTAATAATTGTTGCCATCATCATGACTATTATTATTACAAAAAAAACAACAGAATAATGAATAGCTTAGGTAGCATAAACTATTTATGTTCAAAATGTGATATCTCTACTAGTTGAGCTCATAATTTACAAAATATTTCAGACACCCCAAATATTCATTGATTTTTTTAAATTTTACACTGTATTCCAACAAGGAATTCTGATTTCTAAAAAGAAAATAATATATTAAATTGTGTATGTGCCTGTAAATGAATATTAGTTTTTATGGCTATTTTAGTAGAGAGAAACATGGGACTATTTAGGAAATTGGAAAATTTCCAATGTCCAGTTAATAAATCATTTATAGTAACAAATAGAAATATATTTTCATTTTATTCTCAATTTGAAAATTGTGAAAATAAATGACTAATAAAATTATTCTTTTCATTCTTTAGATACTATTAATGAAAGCATTGTAAACAAGTTCATCATTCAAAAACTTTTTAGTAAACTTTTATAAGCATATTTCATATGAAATTAATTTCCCTATCATATTAAATGGAAACATATTTCCAGTGTATTTAATCATTGTTTATTTTATTCACTTTAAAGGACTAGTTGGTAAACCCATATCCAGCATGAATGGCATTGATTAACACTCTGACCACTGGTTGTTAATTTTGGGGAAAAAGCCTTGTTATGATACTTCTTTTTTCAGTTTTATATTGCACTATGTAGTCATATTTCAGGTAGTGCTTGGTGGCTGTTTTGTTTTTGCAGTTAGAATCCTTTTTTTTTTTATTGAAAATGAATTCCTTTGTTTACTTTCTTATATCTATTATTTTAATATTTATTCACATGTTTTTTTTTATATTCAATTTTACTTTTTCATTGAGCTTTGATTTCATACAGTTGACATTTCAGCAAAATATTTTTATTTTATGTTTTATTAAATTACAATACCTATTCCTCTAATTCCGTATCTACACACACACACACACACACACACACACACACATATATATATATATATATATATATATATATATATATATATATATATATATATATATATTTCAATGGCTATTATAACACAAAACACTACTGAAACCATCTTACTGAATTATTATAGTCTTTATTGTTATTGTTTTGGTTATACCGTGAAACATCTACTGAGTTCACTTCTGCAAATCATTATTCATTCCAAAATATTACACAAGCTACCAATTAATCTGTTGACTGTCATATAATTTTAATATGAGCTGTTATCAGGAAGTTCCCTATTTGTTGTGATTGTACTGTTCAGTGGAAATGTATACACAGCTAATACTGATTGATAGCCAGCTTATTGAGTCAGTCTGCCAATTGGCTTTGTGCTATCTGCTTGTTTTCATTTATATGTTTTGTAATGTTGTGTTTGAATGGTTCTGTGATCTGGCTAACAAAATCCAGCAATGTGCCTGTATCAAATTTTTCATGAAGCTCAACAAATATTCTGTCAAGACCTTCAAAATTTTTTATCAAACTTTTGACAGAATACTGTTTGAATGGAACACTTGTTTCAAGGCCAGTTATGTGTTCGTTCAAGATGATGAGTATTCTGCATGAATAATCACCAGAAAAATACAAGGAAATATGAAAAATATCATAAACTTATCCATGAGAATGAGAATTATCACTGAACAATAATTCTCTCACATGTTTGTAATAAGTTATCGAATCTTCTAGATCCTTATGGAAAATCTGAACATACATTTTTTTTTTGCTGCAAAATTCTTTATCCCATAACTCTTGACCCTTGAACAAAAGCAGTAACATCTTGATGTATACCCTGATCTTCACAAGAAATATATGAGGGAGTGCTGAAAAGTTCTCATTACAACCCACTTCACAAAATCTGACTAGATGAGCAAATATCAGATTTTTTGGAAAGTGTTCTTGATTGAGTCAAGAAATGTTCAGCACATTCTCATATACGTAAAATATATTATTTACTGGAGTAATGGCAAAATTTCTTGGGGTCCTAGTTTGGGAACTTTCTGATACCACCTCTTATTTGCTGCCAGTGGAATGTAGAATGAAATGCATGAACCATCCATACTTTTCAGCCATTTTATATATATCTGTACAATAGACATAACAACTGATTTATGATTCTAGCAAAGTGATTTTAAAAAATCTAGAATTTCAGAAGGTTAATATGAATTTAGTGAAACCTAACACTGCAGAGTCTCTTGGACGTGTCCTTTTTATGACCTACCTTTTGCCTTGTAGAGCATTGAGATGAAGGATGTTGGAAGACGCACCTCCATCGGGAGTCAGGCCAGTGTTGATAATGCTCTACTGTCCCTAGCAGCAAATCAAATCACAGCGTCCATGACTAAGCTCAACAAAGATGAAGTAAGCATTTAGTAAATGCTCTTTTTGGGGGCTGTTAACAAACTTCATCAGAATTGTGTATGCACCCACAATGACTCTCTACCCAAACTTTCACTTGCCAGTACCCTTCCCTCTATTTATGAAACCTGTTGTCTGTAGTCCAGATGTTTGTTGGTGGTACCCTGTCTGTACTGCAGATGTATTCCCCCTCCCCACTTTCTATCTTCTATTCTCTTCTTTGTATGAATGAATGAAAAAAGTCACTGGAGTGAACAGTTGCGTGGTTACGGTTTTTCTATACCTATGTTCAGTCACTTTTATGCTAGACAATATACCTGACTGTCTTTATTCTGATATTTGTAAGATCATATTAAGTGAATGTAAAAGTTTCCAGCACCATCTTTTGCACAGTGTTAGAAAAAAGTGTTTTTAAAGCTTACTCAGTTCTTTATTGCTAATAAAATTATTAAATTGCAGTAAAATTTATTTATAATAGCTTATTTCTAATAAAATTGGTCAATTTAGTTTTCAACATGAACTTAAACATGCACAAAGTCACTGTTTAAACATTTGATTTTATCTTCTAGTTTGACTCAGAAAAAGTAATTTTGGAGCAAGATAGTTATAAAAAGTGGATTTATTACATGAATCCAAAATGAAGAATATCATAACCAGATTCAGGATAGCTCTCAATATCTTAAGCTAATGAGAATCTATTTGGGTCCAAAAAAACTCTTTTCTATGGTTGTCAGGATTTAAAGTGAATTTTGAATTGTTGGAACTTGGAAAAATTTCTGTAGTGATATAGTGAGCAATTAGCTTGTTTGTATGATACATTTGATGACTTTACAGATGTGTCATTTTTAACTTAACATCTATTTTGCTTCAAACAACAATTCTTGCCTAATTAATTCCAATGATTTCAAGATATCAAAAAGTTCCTGAAGGAATGAAGCAAATCAAAACTGAAATTATTCTTTTATGATAGAATACAAAATTTATCTAAAAGGTGGTATAAGGTCATAAAATTTCAAGGAAAATGAATTGATAACTAAATAATAATGCTATGAATTTAAATGAAAAGAAGATTTTGTTAAAACATATGCTGGAAACTTTTGCATCAACTTAATAATTTACCATTAGTGAATCATGTGTTACTTTATGCAGATAATCTTAGAATTTAATCAGTGTTCTTTCTCTTATCTCCTTTTGATCTCTGTTTCTTTTACTCTCTTATATAAATCAATATATTGAACTGTACACACTCAAGGTACTGTTACTTTCATTAACTCTCTAGCTGTCCTGTTTAACTGGTCATTTTATTTGAACTGGTTAAATTGCTTGCAGTACTTAAAATGAGAATCTTGCTACTGGACAGTTAACATGGCTTGCATGTCAAATAGTTTCTTCTCCATGGTGTCAATTCTTATTATCTATTGAATATAAACCATTATTCTTGAATTCCTTTCTTTATTCTTGCAGTGATTAGCAGTAAACAAGTAATTAAGAGACTTGGTCCAAGTTACCATTAAAAATATAAAGCATATTTGACTTTAGCTTTCTTGTGGCATCAATTAAAATTATATTAGGTCATTTAACATTTAGATAACATTCTTCAAACTTATAGTTCTTCTAGTGACATCTTAAAGATAATGTTTAATGAAATGCCAAATATATTTTCTAGGTTCTTTCTGAGTTAATGTTAAAAGTTTTACATAATCAAGGAAAATTTATCTTTCAAGACTACTGTTCATGATGGATTTTCAATCTAGGTGAAATTCTATATTGAAAGAATTCTAACATCTCAAAGTCAAAGACTTTTTCTCTTTGATTAATTAACAAGATTCTCTTAAATTGTAGATGTGTCTGTGGAACTGTCAGTAATAATGAGTTTATTTATAAGGCTTTGTTTATTTATAGTGCTTTAACATTTGATAAATTTTCAAATTTTATAGCTTTGCTTTTGTACAAAATGTGTCACATAATAATTAAAATTAGATGTCTCTATTAATAGGTTTCTTAATTGTTTTAAATTTTCTGTTAGGATAAATCTGTTAACTTCATATTGAACTTATACATTAAAAACAAAAGGTTAATAAGTGAATGATGCAAGCATAAAAAGTTTATAATTCCATATAAATATGTAAATGTATATTGAGTTTTAATAATTTTTCACTTACAAAGATTTATCAGTTAATTGCATCACCATTTTCACTCCAATAAATATTGCAAGTTAAATAGAGATGAGTTTAGGCTAAGAAAAGTATTATATGAGCAACCTTTTTGTTTTATTCCTCGCTAAATGTTCTATTATGGGAAAGGTTGGAATGAACTGTTCTTGATTTGAACTGGACACAACCTGCTTCCAATAAATGTATTTGCATATGATTGATAAACTTATTTCAACCGTAACACCTGCTTTCAACTGTCACTCACAATGACTTTGATTTGATTATGTAAATCAGCTCTTCTCTCCAGATCAAATACTACTTGATGTCACTCAACTGTCAAATACAACCTGGCCCTCAGCCAAACTAAAGTGGCACAAAGTGACATCACAGTAGCAAGAAGATCAATTTTCTGTAGAGCTTTGGTTACTAAAACTGTCCAGCTTTGCCTTTTTAAAATAGCCATTCTTCATGCTTAAACTGACAATTTTTTAACATTAGGATCAACTGGATAAAAATTTGACCATAAATCCTTTCATGTGTTGGCCATAAATCCTTTCAACTGTGTGTGGCTGTTTATTTCAGATCCTTGTCAAATGACAAGGACATCAATGCTCTATCTTTCTTACTTGTAATGTTTAGCAAATACTGCATTCTTTTCCCTTCCTTACCTATTCTCTGAATCAACTGACTCCCAATAAAACACCCTTTCCTCTTCATTTCACATGCTTCAAAAACTCTTCCCCTTACTCTAGAATTTGTTGTTCTGCTTTCCTCTTATGCTTTTCATATGTTCCTTTGACTTGGCAAGGCAATGCTATAATTGTTATTTGTCTGGCTTATGAAATCAGTGTCACCAATATCTAATAATTGATCCATGTTTATATTTATCCTAACTAATCTATCAAAATTTACTTCCCAGAAAAATATATAGTAATAACTAAAACAGAATCTGTAAAATATACTCATACCTTGCAATCAGTATAAATTAGTCCTGTTATGTATTATGCTATGTCAATACTAAAATATCTTAAATTTTATTTTTCACTTTTTAGTATTTTGTTTTGTTTGTTATTTTTATTTTGTTTTATTGTTACTGTGTTTGATTTTAACTATAAGTTATAGTTTTTAGATATTGCACATTAGTAACTCTTTGATTTTCTCTCAGGGCTGGGGTTATGGTTTAAACCAAACAATTTTTTCTCTAATCAGCTGTTTGGAACTGGTAATATAGAAACTTAATCTGAGACATGAGTTTATTAATGCCATGTCATCCAACTATCCTATAATTTAAAATATCTGCAACCTTTTTTAAAAAAATAAAATCAATGTCCATGCTTTCAAAATTGATCAATATAAAAATTAAAATTCAATCTTAAGTAATATTTTACCTTAATATAATATTATTTTTATTATTATAAAATATATGTTACTGGCTAACTAAGGTATTACATAGTCTAAATATTCTATAGAAAACCTAACATTTTTTGGCAAATTATGAAATAAGCTTATTTCAGTTTGATGTTATATATTGTACCTAGAGTTCATAATAAAATGCCTAGCTATTCTATAAAATGTCTAGGATTTTTGACAAAATATATTATAAACAACAGGGAACATTTTATTCATGAACTGAAATCTGTGAAAATCACAAATAATTAACATATAACAGAAAACAGTAATGATGATATTTTATTAACTAAAATATAAACGAAATAAAACTGTTCTGATAAACATTGTATATTAGTCTCCCACTAATTGTATCAGTCTTATTTTCTCAACTTATGTGACATTTTGAATTGGGTTGAACAGTTTTCTTAACACAAACACATTTATACTATTTATATTGTTCAGCCTGTTGTCCTCCTATTTATTGCCATATTCACAACATTTTAGCCATTGTATGCTCCAGCCTTCTTATTTTATCCACTGGGCATATGTCCCCAAGCACTTAATACCCAGTGGATAAAAGTGTTGGTTGATTGATCCAAAAGTGACTTGGAACAAAGAGTAGTAAGTTCAATACCTGGCCACAACAGAAGGAATAAAATACTTGGCAAGTTGAGTTATCTAAGTGGAATTAACTAAAACTGACATAACCGAAGGCATGGCATGTGGAATTAGAACAATCTAAATAAAGTGTTTGGTTTGAAATTCCAACAAATATCACCTGAAGAAAGCCGGAGCATACAACAGCCAAAACATTGTGAATATGGCAATAAAGATGAGGACAACAGTCCAAACAATCTAAATGGTGTAAATAGTTACAATACCTCATCTCAGAAATATAAACACAAAAACATTTAGTTTGACACTTCATAATACACATGTACTTCTCAACATCATGTGTTGTCTATAACAAATTCAGTACAGATGTACAGATTTTGTTTTATATAATGTTCTGTAGAATACCTAGGCATTCTATCTAATACCTTAATTCGACACTTTGCCAGTAATATATATATTATTTTAGAATTTTTACCTTATAATATAAAATGTGTATTGCTCTTATTATTTTATCTTTTGGTCATATTCTGTGTTTAGTCCTTTAATAAGATAAAAAATATTATTGTCATAACATTGTTTATATAAACTGTACTACTTCTGTCTCATAATAATTGTTACATTTAACTACATATTTCCCAAACTAAATGTAACAACTATTAAGGGGCAGAGAGAAAATTGCAAAGAATCCAACTGTATTAGACTCTAGATCTTTGATGTTTATTTCATATATCAGTAAGTATATAAGCACATATCAAATCTATTCACAGACCCTTTAGAAAATAGTCCCAAAAATTTCAAAAGAAAATTTAAGCTGATTAACAAAATGAATTTCACTGATTCCCAGCTGTTTACTCTCTCTCTATATATATCTATCTATATCTATATATATCTATATCTATATATATATATATATATATATATCTATATATATATATATATATATATATATATATATATATATATACCTTTATGTGTTTCTGCTGTCACCTTCCTGTTACCTACGCTTTTCTTCATTCACTGCCTGATTGTGAAAAGTCCTTCCTTCTTCTTGCTAAGTCTTAATGGAAAAACACAATTGTTACATAATTCTGATTCCTAATGTCAGGGCAGGAGAGATATGGTGAGATGCGGAAAACTTCATAAAGGTACTTTCGGATATCAGGCAAATTGAGAGAAAGAAAAAAATTGCAAACTCAATGGCCAAACTATTAAAAATTAATTATCCAACTACTACACTACTTTCAGCCCTCTGAGAAGCAGGACTTTTCATGGGGACTGAGGCCCGAACACGCAGCTCACCCTTCTGCTCCGAGACCTGGATCAGGTTCAAGTAGAGGATTGAACTTTGCTCAAACAGTGCCTCTTTCACCAGTATCACCTCGTTCTCCATTACCTTCCCAGAGCCCACTTGGGTCTCCAATGGCATCTCCGAGTATGCATCGACGCTCAGTTTCACCTCGCAGAGGACTAGATGTGGGTTTTGCATCTGCCGTCTCAAATATTGTTGATCAAGCTCATTCAATCGCAGAACACGACAGGCACAGAAAGCACAGAGGTGAGTCATACTCCTTTCACTCATATTCTCTACCTCATTCTTTTTTCTTTTTATTTTTTGATGGTTATAGAGAATTATGTAAATGATTTACTGTATTTACCAACATAAAAGATGCACATGTAAATAAAAAAAAGAGAACAGTGCATAGTGAGTGTTCCTCTTTATCCATGGTTTTGCTTTCCATGATTTCAATTACTTACAGTCAAACCAAGAGATAAATAATTCATACTATCCTGAATCACTGTTTCTACCTTCTTACAATATTGAGCAAGCTTACTTAGTGCCTGCCACTCATTAGTTGGTGATCACAGAATTGTTATTCCTTTACCTCTGTTTTCGTTTTTCTCTACTTCTTTTTCCAGGCACCATGACCTCAAGACATGAATCAGCAACAGTTACCACTAGTTACTAGATCTTTTAATATGTCCAAATAGTTTCAGGAATTTGCTACAAATGGTACTGAAGAGTGCTTTGAGAGAAATATTTTTAAAAATTCATCAACTGACTGATTTTGCATATCTTGGTTACAAGCTGTCTTCCAAGAATGAATGAGAAACACCCCAAAAAACCTTGGCCAAGTTGATTTTAGAATACATAAGGCTATGCTAAAATCAACAGCATACTAATACACATTTAAACAAAAATATACCTTATAAACATTTTAGGAGTTCTTTTATATGATTTATTATATGATTACCCATTGTGACACCCAGTCTGATAAGGATATACCAGATATATACGTCATCCTCATTATTATTATTTACTATTATATTAATAAGCAGAAATGTTTTGTATAGTTTTTTTTCATTATCAAAAAAAAAAAAGAAGCAAATGTCAGTATCAATTGTTTAATTTCTTGATTTTTTAAAATAATGTTATATTGTAAATATTATTTATTTAAAAATTATATGAAGCGAATAATTAAAGTAAGCCTTTTAACAAAATAAACTCATTTATAAAATTTGTTTTATTATTATTATAACTTAATCTAATTTTTAAAAACTTAATGAATACAAAAAAAGATTGATAAGCAACTACTTAAAATTTTTCATACATACAAGTTTAGAAATTTAATACTATTAGGTTTAGGACATAATTAATCTTTTATGAATGTTGTAATTTAGAGTAAACAGATCCTTTTTGTCATTTTACAATTTCATATCTACAACAATAATTTCAATTTAAAAAATAATGAACTATGCATTTTCAAAGATTCGTTTGAAATGTTCTCTTAAAATCTATACTAATCCAATGATTTAATTTCTTCTGTTAATTGTTCTAATGATTCCAGATTCACTTCATTCTTTATCCTTGGCAGAATAAAACAATTATATTGAAATTGCATGATTCTCTATTCCATATTTTAATTCCTCTTGCTGCACAAATTTCAATTGATGTGTCATCAAATTCAAACTTCTAATCATATTGTTGTTTTGTGAATGTGATGGAAGTTTTATATTTAAAACTTCCATTTAATATATTTTATTCATTTAATTTTTATTCCAGAAGAATCCAGTGAACAGGAGGCAACTTGGATATAAAATGACATGGTATTTTTTATAAATACATGTCTGATATCTTCTTATTAACAAACTTTAAGGAGAGATATTAATCTCAATATATATATATATATATTTATATAAGGCTATCACCATATATATATATATAAGGCTATCATCATATATATATAATATATAGAAGGCTATCATTTCTAGTTTTCCATTTCATAAGTTACTCTGAACTTATTGACAAAATTGTAGCAGCAAACTGTCTGCCTATTTTTCATCAATCATATTTAATATTCATTAAATTAATTTTATAACAAGGAAGTTGTCAATATAAGCATCATAATTTACAAGATTGGAGATTAAAAAATTATTTTTCAAAGATTCATAGCAACTTCATAATTTCCCAATATTTGTCCAGACAACTGAACTCAATCTTTATGTTGCTGATATCATTACAGCATTGTTTTGGCTGATTTATTCTACATACTTCTTCAGATGTATAATCCATGAGATAAAGATAAAGGCCTCATTTTTACAGTACAGTATGACAACAAGAAAAGAAACCCTTTCTTCTTTAGCAGTTATATACTTGAAGAAGGCTTCAGAATAGGTTAGCTAATTTATTTTGGCAATAACATCAGCAATTCAATAAGTTTAATTGCCTGAAAAAACATTGCAAAAGTTCTCAAAATTATTGACATTAGCCACATAATATCTCTCCTTAAAAATATGAATGAAGTGGGAATCTTTCTAATGTCTAACATGTCTTCCAGCATTATGATTTTTGAAAAGAAGAATAATCAATTCTCAACTCTCTTGCACTTGCATGTAACATACATTATTTTATTAAGTGGGAAAAAATCTAATTGTAAATGTTTCTCCCTATGGTTTCTTGGTATGGATGAATGTGACAAGATTTGTTTAAGCATTTGAAAAATAGTGGTGATGGGTTTTATATTTGTAGGTGTGTGTGTATATATATATATATATATATATATATATATATATATATATATATATATATATATACATATATATAAAATTGAAAATTGATTACAAGGATATCCTACAGTTCATGTATACACTATCCACTGACCTATGTTCACTAATATACAAACAAAATACCTTATGACCCTCTATGACCTTGTAACAATATTTTTATAACTCTCCATGACTTTATAGCAATGAAAGAACTTAATACTAAATTTCAACAAAAATAATTATTGAAAACAAAAATAATATCAAGCAGAAATGAAATTAACAATCTTAACCCTGAAATTGAACACTGCAATGAGATTCTACAGTTCTTGCAAACACTATGAACTAACCAATTATATAGAAACAGAAATGGTTAAGTTTATTTTTAAATGCTATGTCCTTTCAGAGCATAACCAAACCCACTGCTAGAGTGTTTGAGGAGGGCAGGCTTTAAGTAACTGGAGCCACAAGCAAAAATTTGAACACTAAAGTTAGTTCATATAATTTTCACAGGTCGGAGCAAATGATTTTCAGGGAGTGGTTGCCTCCCTGTTTCCTCCTTGGTGATGGGTCTGACACAGACGATCATGTTTTCACAGATTTTTATATATTTTTTTTGATTTTCCTTCATCTGGATTTCACAGCATGTCCTTAATTTCTGCCTTATGTTAAAGGGATCATTCTGCATGAATTAAAAAAACTCTTTCTAATTCTAATAATCATTCACTTACTGTTTATCAAACTAATATTTAGAATATTTTTCCAGTTAGTGGGTCATTTTTTGATGCCATATTGAATATTGTTAGAATCTTTACAAGATTGCCAGATTGGGTTCATTTTGAAAGCCCAGCTTTTAAATGTAATCCAATTTGTTACTTGTAGCCCAATCTGGTAAACATGTGTAGAAATAGGTTTCATGCATTTTACCGACTAAGATCTTTTATTTCCATTACTTATGAATATTTGATACTTATTTCCAGGTTATTTCCATGAAGGTAAGAATCAGACAATGAGAATTTGTTCTGAACTATATTTAGTTTGCACTTATTTATTCACTAAATTCAGTCAGTTTCATTAATATTTACCCAATGTTCTCTTCTCAGTCCATAGCAGACACAATTGAAAATCTAGTTAGATTTCACTTCATATCCTGATCTGAATATCTTGTTTTTTTTTGTTTTTTTTTTATTGCTTGTTGTTATCACTTCTGGTCAGTTCAGGAATGTTTTTTTAAACATTCAGAATTTTAAGATATTTTTATGCATTCATTCTGTTCTTATTTTTTGCACTTTTTCTTTTTCTTTCTTAGGGTTAGAGTTGTTTCCTAAAGATTTCTTATGTTACAATTTTAAGATATTTCTTAAAAATCAAATCTTCATGGTAGAAAATTACTTGAATTTAATAAAATTTTAAAAGTTATTTAACAAATTAAGAAATGATCTGATTTTTTAAAAAATTTTTTTTATTTTAAATTTGATTTTTTTTAAATTTTGTATGTTTTCTATTACCAATGTGACAAAATGTTTAAGATTGATATTTATTTTTAGTTTGAACTTCATCTTTGTGTCTTTTTCACTGAGCTTATCTATTTTTTAAAATTACTGTCTGAAGGATTCACTAAATGCTTCATTTAGTCAAATGTTTGCGTTACCTATCTTGCAATTGTAATTATTCACCTACATAAACACAAAGGTTTTCAAAAAATAAATATGCATTATACACAGAGAATTAAACTCACTTCAGTTGTGATAGCTTGCTTGATTTGTTTATTAACCATTATGTCACAATGAGATGTCCTTAAAAAGGCTTCTACTCCATATAGATTATCAATATTGACTAAGATTATCTAAGCATGGCACAAGGTCACAAATGTACAGCACCCAATGAACTCAGTACAGTAATATCATGTTTTGAATGTTGGTTGTCAAGTTGTGATTCTTCACAGATTTCTTTTTATTATTGGTGAATTGACATGCATTCTTGAGAAAGATAATGGAGTAGTTTCCTATTGCTTTTTCCACAGTATGGAATTAAGTGTTTTCCTTGATTAAACTGGTTTCTACCCAAAGTAAGCTGGGGGTAAAAGTGATAGATCCAAAGTCAATAGTGTGAAATAGAATTCACTTTTTATGCCAATATCTGTTATACTTATTACTTTTAAGAAGTTTTTTCAATATCTTAATTTGTTGAACTCATAGTACTGGTTTACTAGCATAATGCTCTGACATCAGTAAATGGGCAAGTCTATGTATCTCAGTTTTTAGTTCCAGTTTACTAACACAATTCTTCAGTATCAGTAAATTAGTAAATGTATGTACTTCAATTTTCGAGTTTGTAAAATAGCTTGAAGTATAGTATTTGGGGTAGTGCTGGGTTGTTCCATTACAGTAACTATAATGACTTTACTCTGATTAAATATTTGTGCAAATAATTTGAGATGTTTTTTGTGTTCCTACAAAGATGTATAGAGTAGTATCAGATGTGGATATTACCCACATTATTTTGTGTAAAACA